TAGGTTTCACATGTACGTTGAATTTTGTTGTACTGAAATTATTAATAGTATCGAGTTCTCTTAACACCATACTTATGTTTATATTAATCGTGTGTAAGATCGTGTAATGGATGAATGACCAACTCATTATAATGAGTTCAATTTTAGTGTTACTTTTGCACTTGTTTTATATTCTAGCTTTTTCATAGTGATGACATAATGTATCTCTTCAAACTGCATCAGTTATTAAACTTGGGATAACTTTTTTGTTCTTCCTTTTCCTCTTATGCTCATGTATTAGAATTCCTCTTGGGATAACTTTCATATTAGAATTCATCAACATTTTTAATTCTTAAAACAATAACAAAGTAAGTTAAATAGATTGAGACACGTGTCATAGATGAAGAGGTTAAATGCTTGACTAATTTCATCCTGCTTTATTATTAAACTCAGGAAAAATAATCCATGATGTATACAGTCTTAGATCCATTCAAAGTAGTTGAATTTTTAACTTTCACCATAAAAAAGGGCAACAAACAAGAAATCTTTGAGTGCATACTTGCGGTAAGAAATCAAGTCAATACGATACTCTTCGCCTATCGCCTATCGAAAGATAGTAGGTATGTGACATACTAGATACAACTCTAAAAGTCAATCTATACTTGTAATTTAAACTTTTTTTTAGAATAAGAAAAACTCTATTACCTCAAGGTTGTAACAAACAACATAGACAAAAATCAACACACTTCATCTTGATTGAAATTTTTACTGTATAGATTAAACCATTATAAACTGTTATATACTTTCAATTTCATCAAACTACATCTTAAATTTTAAATGTTGCGATTTTATGAACTTTTATAGTACTAAACTTTCAATAAATATTGCAATTTTAACCATAAAGTATTATAGTACCAAACCGGCAAGTAGATCAGTAATCATCTTATTGCTTTTTTCAGAAAGACAGAAGTACACCTGAATATAGGGAAAATCTGATGGATGTTTATCGACCATTTTCATGCTTTAGTAAGCATGCAACTCAATATCCCCAAAATCCATTGAAAATTTTGGGTTTCATCTGCAAGGAAAAATTGGCAAAAGATATTGATTACATACAAAGTCCAAATCAAGATAAAACTCTCTTTCAGGCCTTGTGATTTTTCGCCATCTCATCGACATCCAGTTCGATTTCCAGTATTGGTGAATCCTTTTTCATGCTAAAATCACTAGTAAAAACAAACACAACTCAGTTAGTCCCAAGAACATTTTTTTTTTTTTTTTAAAGAGCAGAATACACAGTGAATAGTAGCTAACCTATTCTGCACTGGGCCATGGTCGACAGCGGTTCGTAGGCAATATATGGCTCTGCCTACAATGTTTGACATCGTAACTGGACCAAATGTTCGACTGTCGTACGCCTCCTTATAAATGAGAGGGAAGGGGGGAAATTTAGTTTTGTGATGAAGATTACAACACTTATCAAATCATTACACAACACAGCAAAGAGAACCATAGAATGCATGTTCAATTTGAACCAAATTTTGACGAATTTGTCTTTAACAAATAAGCCTTCTGGTTGGGAAATAACAAACAAGAGATAGAGCAATACAATTTTTGCCTTCCTAAACCACTTATGTGATGCATTTGCATTTATGCATTCCTATATTTCAGGCACCTAGAAACTGCAGTTCAAAACTATCTTTTATACGTTTCTTCTTTTCCAAAAAATAACAGTTTTTTTCCATAGAACATGGTCCAAAAATTATTCCAAATGTATGATCAATACTTCTATAAATTCAAAATGACGAGTGTTTTTTTTTATTTTCTATGCAAAGTTCATAAAACTAAAATGGAATGTTTGGAAGTTTACACACACACACACAAAAAAAAAACCTCCAAATAGTTTTCGGCAATAATATGAAAGGACACAACAAAAAGGGGCTAAAATTACAATAGACCCAAAAAACGTGATTGAAAATTAACAATACGAGCAAAGTTTAATAAATATTTATAGCATGAAGTGAAAAGATAATCGAAAGGGTATGGACCTAGAGAAAAAAGATACCACCATCATAGAGAGACCAATATAAATGCTGAGGAAAAAACTATCTACAGCAGAATTATGGTGATCGTCATTGTATTATACCTTCGGCTTCAACTCCTCATTATCTGCCAACAACCAGCACTGGTCCTTCTCAAGTACGAAAGGCTTATCTTTTTCATCTGTAGACAGCATTTCATACCCTTCAACTGCAGCCAATCTTCTCACAAGATAGTTTTCTGGTTTTTCTGGCTCCTTCACCACCACGACATCCCCAACAAAAACACTCCTGTGAAACAAATATCTCTGCCATTAAAGAAGAGAGTTGGTAAAAAGTACAAGCTAAGAAAATCTAGAATTGAAGTAGGATCCTACCTAAATTACAGGTTATAAGGAGCATATGAACTATTCAATGACTAAATTCCAATTTCTACTCCGAAACGCATAAACAGTTCTCTCTAGAATAGGAAACTGTTCTTGCAGCAAAAGAGAATATATATTTTTATACTAAGAGGAAGACAAAGTTTACGTTGGATCTGCAGCAGGTAATTTGCGTATGAGAAGCGTTCCCCCTGCCACACCTACAGTTGGGGCCATCTCCTCTCCCTTAATCCAATGGAGGTATGTGAGCTTTCCCTGAAGTAAATTCTTCCAAACGGCATCACCTACTTCTTTGTCAGTAATTTGACCTCCTTTATAGTTCTGCATCAGAGTAAAGATTCTTCTTGTAATTGTTTATATAAAATAGTTGAAAGGTTGAAATGGCTTCTTAGAGTTCAAAAGTTTCCTATCTAACAACCAAAAATGAAACCGAAAAATAACTACAAGAAAATCCAGAAGAGATAGAAGATGCATGAAGGAGTGGAGAGATAAATCATTTTAATATTTCTTATAAGAATAGAGAAAAAAAAAAATCAGAAGATCTAAGATGGTCCATCAAGTACGATATGAATTTTTGGGAACTGGCATTAGCTATGCACCATTTGCTTTTCCTGGCAGACGGTTTAAGTGTCAAGTTCCAGCAGCTTACACACATTCAACATAGAAATTCCTGGCCAGCTTAAACTTCTCAAACATTAGAACTATATCTCTAAAAGAAGCTAAAAAGAACACTCATTCAGAAAAAGAAAAAAATAAAAGAAAAATAATTTTTTTTAAAAAAGGAGATTAATTAAAGAAAAACATATATATAGAGGACTACAACAGAAGGCCAAGAAACCAAGTATATGAAGAAAACTCGGAAGAATTATTCTTTTCATTTGAAATACTCATCTAATTTTCCAAGCAGTAATTTTATTAAAAAGAAATAGATAAATTATGTTTTCTTCTGAAAAAGAGCCTAGCAGCAATATAGAGATGATGCCCCTTGAGAAATATTCAAAATCTAGCCGAAAACACAATTAAAACTTCATCCCAAACCTCCCTCAAGAAAGGGCAGTGAATATATATATAGCCTATGAAATGAACACCAACATGGAGAGACGGTAAACATGAGAAAGCTGCAACTAACAAAAAATTAAACATTCTTTAGATATCATGTGAAAGAATTTAACCTATGAGTATTTTAAATTCATATAGGGCTTTAATCTTTTGTTTTTAAATGCCCTTGCTAATTTGCCCGCCCCCGACAGGTAAATGGTAAATGACAACATGAGTTAATCATAAATCAAACCGACAAACCAAGAATTAACATTGAAGAAGTGGCCATTCAAGAAACAGTTAAACAAACAGCATTCTACTAATTCTTCAGTAAAGAATGCCGAATTGTAATAATGCACCAATCAACTTAATTTTTTTTAGTAAAGATAAACATCAATTGTAACAGAAAATCGACAGTCAATAACTCATAAACAATGAACAAAACCAGAAGATTCATTAGTGATCGAAAACCAAAACAATAAAATCAAGAAATGCGAATTGATATTCCAAGAACGCACATCTAAAACTTCAAAAACGAAAATTCCTAAGCCCGACGACAAACAACAGTACAAGAAATGTGATTATTCTAAAGAAATTCCAATAATGTTCGAATAATCAAAAAAAACTAACAACTTATGAAGCCGAAACACAGTAATTCAACAAAAACCATAAAAAAAAAAAAAATAAAATTGAAGAATAGGGTTAGAGAGAGAAAGTGAAAGACCTTCCAACTGAGAGAGACGGAGTACTCGAGCTTGTGGGCGATGTAGCGGAACCAGGTAGAGAGGGAAGCCATTTCAAGAAGATAATTTGCAGGTGGATGAATGTCTTGGCGAAGCTTGATGCATACCTGATCCTAAAACCCAAAAAAATCAAAATCTGCCAAGTTCATTAAACCCTTTACTCAATACATGGATTTTCCCCCTTTTTAATATTAATTAATAAAAATAAAATAACACTGACAAAATATTTTATCTTCAATTATAAATTTAATCTAATTCTTTAATATTTTTAAAATTACCGAATTTATTAAATACCAAATTATTACTTTATAGTTTTATTAAATATAAAATTCTAATATATATTTAATAGGTCAATTAATTAGCCGAATATTTTTTTATTTTTTAATTATAAAGTATAAGAAAAAAAATTATTGAGAGGCGCTTTGTTAGTGACTGGGCGGCGTACTGCTGGACGAGCCTCTTCCTTCTCTACGTGTGTTAAATTATTCACATTTTTTTAAATAATAAACCCAACTTAATCATATAAACAACAGTTCGGTAGCATACTACCAGATAAGCTTCCTCCTCGAACATAATTTATAATTATTTTTATTTTTTACTGTAATAAATTTAACATAACCTTAAACTTTTTTGAGTTAATTCGTTTAATTAAAATTTTTTTGTTGGTAACATATATAAAATTTATTAGAGTGGTCGGATGGAATAAATAATTATAAAATAAAATTATATATATAAATAAATAATGAAGAAAAAATTAATTTTGAAAATTAGGAGTAAGTCGGGTTTAATTCAGTTGAAATTAATTTTAGGGCTAAGCTGGAGGGAACAAAACTGGAGGGAAGAGATTCCTTCTCACAGTTACAGTTGAGGTGGAAGAAGCTACTGCATCGATCCAATTCCGCGCCAATGAACAGTTCTTCGGAATCATCTAAAGCAAGGAAACGCCGAAGAGAGGCCGAAATTGAAGATGATGGCGATGGCAATGGCAATGACAATTCTGAAATTGACTCTCTAGGTACTGTCTGACCACTTTCCTTCATTTCATTTGCCTAAACACTGATTGATTCATAAAGTGTGTTACTTTTACTTTAAATGCAGAGGATTGTCTTACATTTAGCGATACTTTGGTGGCGCTTCGTATGATGCGAGTTCAGTTTCCCAACATCGACAAGGTTCGTGTTCTTTAATCTCCTTCGATTTTTGTCTTCGTGGTTAGGTTGAGTGTTTTATGGTTCGTTTCATGGAGACGCTGAGAATTGAGAGCCAGAGATATGAGTGTATTGAGACTATTCAACTTTTTCAACCGAGTGATTCAAAATAATTATAGTCAGTGGGTCATTTATTGCCAGAGAATGCCATGTATCGGATATGAGAGCCTCGGCTATGTTCGACGGCCATTGAAGGTTTCCAGTTGAGGAGAAATTTCGTGTGGGAAATTCTTTTTCGGTTGTTCATGAACCTACTGGATGGAGAGAACCAAGACCTTTTTTGGCGCTAGTTCAATCCTCAAACAAACTTAGTAATTCCAAGCTGAAGTCGGGTAGATACCCAAATGAAGGAATCTTTGAAGACGTATGGGTGCTGTGGCGCAAGTGTCTTTTCCCCTGCATCGAAGAAGAGGCAGACTCTGTGATATATGGGCATTAGTAGGGATTTTTCTTTCGGATTAACATTGCTTTAGTGTTCTTGCAGTAGTGTGCATGTTCTATATTATTCTTCTCATTGTAATCTTCACCGTGGAACTTGCAGAGTTATTGAAGGCAGAATCAAAATAACTTAATTAGTGGTGAACATGGGAAAATAGAAGTTCATGTCATTGTGCAGCACATAACTAGTTATTTATTAGTCCGTCCTCATGAATTGGGTTTGTCCCCTGTTTTCTGCCTTGCTTTGCAATCTATGGAGCATTTGCATCTTCGTTTGAAAGAAATCAATCTAGTCAAGCTCATAAAACATAAATTTCTTATTATACTATTTACTTTTCCTTGTTTTCAGGTGTCAATTCAGCCATTCATTTTGCAATCACAGTTGTATAGTACTTTGAAAGACCGAACAGAAGTAGACAGGGAACTAGAGGTCTGTACTTCTTTCCTCTCTTCTACCCTGTAATTTCTAGGTTTGTAAGTTTTTCTCCAAGAGTTAACCTGCAACGCGGGAAAGTGAAAGATTAGTTTTTGGTGCATGTGAGACAATGCTCGAGCAACACAAACTTTGCATTTTTTTAAAATAAAATTTCTTAATTTATATCTTTTTATGGATGAGAAACTGAAAATATATTCAAAAGAGGAAGAATAAGCATAAGGCTGGGGGTAGACGGAACCCAAACAAGCTACAAAAGAATTTCCTTCCAACATGTTATAATCATTATAGGGCCATTATTACAACATTTCTTTCTTTTTTTTTTTTTTTTGTGTGTGTGTGTGGTTAGTACACCACAAGACGCAAAGTCCATCACACTAATACAGAAAAATCAAAAGATAATAAGATATCGTAAAAAATCCTTTTATTTTCTTTCCTTAGGAAGAAACCAAAATAGGGCTCTAGCTAAACAACTCCAAAGCATGTTTGCCTTTAAAATTTTGTGTATTTTGATAGTCAAGAAACTCCTACCATGGTGAATTGGCCAATGGTCCATTCAACTCAGGCCGGGTCCTTCTCTTATGTTGTAGAAGTGCATTTTCCGGTGAAAAAATAACGATGGATTTCAGCTAGTCTATTAAGAGATTCTTGTCTTGATATGCCACTACTTGCACCACAAAGCATTGATCTGCCACTACTTAACCTTTCCATGTTCTTTCATCTCCCATATCGTCATTATTAGTGAGAAAGAAATTTATGTGTCTCCAATGTTTCCTCTCATGTTGGAAAGTTTAAAAAAAATAATAATAAAAACAGGATACGCGGAAGGACTTGTTGGAATTTGTTGGTGTCCAACATTGACACTTGGCCATTTTACAAGTGTCTATGCTTTATAACTTAACTGCCTTTGCTATAAGTCTTTCTGAAACACTTCTGACAACTGAGGTGCTTAAATCAGTTCCTCTTGACTGATTGTGTTTCTGTGTAGGGTTCTTATTACAAATGTTGCTGTGCAGGATTGTTTTCTTAATATTATTCTCAATTGTACTTTTCTTACCTCAACTTTATAATTTTTGAAAAATATTTTGAATTTGATTTATGATGATCTTTGTTCATAGATTTTGTCTTATGCAGTGTCTAAAACGAGAAAAAGTAGTGCGTGTATTCAAACTGAATACTGGACAAGATGATCATGCAATAATGTTTCTGGATGACTATCTGAAGCAGGTTGGTTTTATTTAATGTGTAACTATATAAATAATACCCCGAAGCCCAGTATTTCGTCATGGACATTTGCTTGCTTGTAATCTGTGTGTGGACATTTGAGGGGTTGATTGGTCCTTGGCTTTCTCTTGGTCTTGGTCCAAATGTTACAGCCTTCTTAATTTGCTCAAGCATTGATTATCGTTTGGTCGGGTGTGTCAAAAGCTTTCTGTTGGGAACATTTGTTGAAAACGAAATTATAGAATTTGTGAAAGAGAATAAAGCTAAGGACTTAATGAATTTGACACGTCTTTGTTTTTTTCATTACCCTTCTTTTTCATGATTGTCGATTGGTGTGCCTTTTCTTATTGCCTTCATACGAGAATAGATACAGTACCTTCCCCCTTCAGGTTTTTTACCTTTCCCATTTTGTGATAAAATGTTTCTTATTCATTAGAATTTTGAGGGATTTATTTTTATTTTATTTCTATGACACTAGCATGTGAATTTATTTATTATTAAATGATGCATTTATTGCTGCCATGATTTCAAGTTCTCTCTCTCTTTTTCCTTTTCTATATTAATTGTTTACATGCAGATTGACCATGTGATATCAAGATTTGAAGAAAGGATGCAACTTGGCACGGGAATTTTTCAGTGGTTTAAGACGCATGTTCTGGATTGCAAATTGGAACCTAGTATTGGACATCAGGAGCTTGTGAGTAAATTTATACTTCCTATAGACGCTATATTCTTTGGGCTGTTTCAATAGCTTGTTGGAGATGATCAGATTTATGCAAATATATAGAATGATGCAACGCTAGATGTTGCATTATTCATTCAAATATTCAATTTCATAACATACTGGAGATGAAAATATGTTCATATACTTAACTATGCTGTACAGGCCAGCTTCCCATAACTGTATGAAGGAGTTATGGGAGGAACTTCAGGACTGTTTAGGTCTCTGCAGTGATATGGGGCTTAGTGGAGATTTGAACGTTATTTGTTGGGTATGGAAGTCTAGTAGGACAGCAGAACTGGAAGTACGAATGATTTCTTTCTCAAAGGAGTTCTCGTTTCCTCTTTCTAGTTGAATGCTTTCTCAATAGAAGAAAAAGCCTTCATTGGGAGGAGGTGTTTCACGATCCTTTGTTTTTTTGGTGGGGAACTTTAACTTGTATTATTGAAGAAACCCAAACAAAAAAGGTGAATGAGTTATCCCCAAATAACTGTGAGGACGCAAAAACTAAGCCCAAAATATTTTTTGGACTCGATGGCTCAAAATATTCCCCTGGTTAGAAAAGGGAAACTAACTGGTTAATTTCTTGCTGCAGTGCACTCTCTTATCTCGTGGGGGAAAGGTTAAAGATGAAGATATCTCCCTCTTGATCAACGCTGGACTCCTTGTAAGTAATCTTGAGATCTCACTATTAACTGCCTTGAATGTGGAAAAGAGTACAGATCCGCTGGTCTTTTTTTATTTGGCTAAGTTCATGATTTGCTTCTTCCTTAGTAGTTTTCAACCATGTTATATGCGTTTGAGTGTGTATATTCACTTGTATCTCTCTTTCCAGAATCGCCAACTTATTGATCCAAACGTGTATTGGTTTGCAATTCCAAGTATTGGTTCAGTACTGAAAGGCATTTCTCAGGTATCTGAAATAACTTACCTGAGAAATGATTTTGCAATAGCTATTTATTTTATATGGCTGGAAAAATGACACTTTTGGTCCTCAAATTTGAGTTTGGTAGCATATTAGTTCCTGAGTTTTCAAACTTGGCTTTTAACCTCTGAGATTTGGGAAAATGACTCGTACGGTTCTTATTGAGAAAGGAAGGAGAACTGCAGTGAACACAGTTCTGTCTTTTAGAACTTATGGCTTGGTAGTTTGAAATAAGATTTAAAATTCGACGAAAAAATGTGTTCTTGAGTTCTATTGAGCATTCTGACTTATCTTTTCTTTTCTTTTTCTGAATTCAGGGTAGAAAGGAACTCATTTCTTTGCTAAAACGTACCAAATATAAAGAAATGATGATGACATCTTTGCAGAAGAAGCGTCTTCGTTTTTCTTCGCTCGATATGAGATTTCACATACGGGATTTAATTGGCTCGGGTTACCTCCGAACTGTGCAATCACCAACAGGCTTACTTGTTCAGTTATCGAAAGATTGAAAACCAGGGAGGATTGAATCGTGTGCTTCTGTTTGCTGTCATCCCCTTCATGTTTATTAGCTCAAGGTAAGTTTCTATCACTTGAATACTTTTTTAATATAATAGAGTTTAGGAAAAAGTTCATTCTTTGTGAGCATTGATTATTCCAATTGTGCTGGATGCTCTTTCTTAGTTGAATATTTTTGTGTTACTAAGTTTGAATATTTTTGTTTGTTTTGTTTCATTTCGTGGCTAGGTTAAGTAATTTCATGATAGAGCTTGGACATTTTTGGACGTAATTTAAACTATAATTTTGTAATTATAAATTAAAAAAAATTTAAATCTTGCAATATTAGTAAGAATACCCCAAAATCTAATCAAATTTGTAAAAATATATGCAAAGAAAATTAAAACTAAAATATAAAGTCATTATGCTCTAAAATAATAACACATAATAAAACAAGGAAACTTGTAGGTGAAAGTAGTGTTCATAGACTTGACTTAAAAAAAAAAAAAAAAAATCTAAAAAATCATATAATTATCAAACTGGGTCTTAGCTTAATTTTTTTTTTCTCTATAATATGCATTCATTAATATTTTGTCTTCAACGTGTTAAAAGAAATTGTTACATGAGGAATTGGATGTTAAATCTTAAATAAGAGGTCACCATGACTTAATAATCACATTTCCTCTAAGCTCTTGATCACTTGTTCTGAATATTATTGCTTAAAGGAATTGATTTTTATTCATGGAAGTTCCAAGTTTGTTATAAGAAATTAATTAACATTTAGCAATGGTAAGGCTGTTGAGAGACAAAATTTAACCAAATCAAAGACAAAGTAAAAGACTATGATTGTAGACTAGCCTGATGATTCATAGACCATGAAACAATCAAGTAGAGTGGAGCATATTGCTTTTGCTGTGTATTATCTATACACTGAAATACTTGTGTATATGCTATTGGTTTGGTGTATTTTGTACAACAAATCGTTGAGAAAACCCCACCAAAATTATATGTGGGAAAAAAGGAAGACAAGAAAGAACGAAAAATAATAACAAACCAGATCTTTTATTCACCTTCTTCAGATCTATTATTCACCTTTATCAGATATGTTATTCCCCTGCCTGTGAACAATGCTACCACAGTCGAAGGCTCGTCTCCAAGCTCAGATTGTTAAAGACCAAAAATCCAACTCCATCTTGCTTGAGTTTAATTTTCTGTTAAACCAAAGTCTGTCAAACACTTTCAATGTGGAATGCACCATCCAACATTTTACCTATATATATACTATAAGGTCCAATTGAGATTAGTTAATGAAATAGAGCTCCTGCTGTTTCATCTGATGACACGCAGAGAACCGATACGTTACATCGACTGTTTCCTTGCTTCAACTTCATCCTGTTGAGATGTCATTGAGTTTGAAAAGCTACCTTCTCTGGACTGACCATAATTAGATGTATCAGATGCATCTGTTGCCTCTTCGCCATCTATTTGAAACAGTAACTCAAATTAGTCTGGTAGCATTGTAATGGGACGATCTAGTAATAAGTTTAGTGAATAGAGTGAAAAAAAAAAAAGAAAATATTGGTGCATACCAAAGATTGACTTGATTGTCGGTCTTTTTTGTTTGCCGCTTTTTTTCTTCAATTCAGCTACACGTTAAGAGAGAGAATCAATTATTTCCGTGAGTAATCTCCCTCTTCAGAACATGCCAACTAGAACTTGGAGCAAAAATGTGTGATCTTAAAAATGCTTGAGGTGTAAATAGTGAAGGTAGAGAGAGATAGAGAGATTGCTTCAAAACATTTTCAAATTGAAGTGTAGGATGTTTGGTGAAATCTGTGTGGCCCTAAGAGTGCTAATGACTCATATATAAGGAAAAATTGCACAAACCGCCTGTAAACTATGAGGTTTGTTACAATTAGAGTCCTAAGAACATCAACATAAAATGATAAGTTGGAAAGATCTGCTTATTAAGCCAGAAAGTAAATACTGAACCGAATGTGAGAGGACATACCCATCCCAGGCAATTGATAATCATTGACAATTTCGAAGTTTTTGTAAGTATATCCAACAAAGTTGATGTCCTTAGATGAGAGCATCTGATACAACACAAATCAAGAAGGGAATCAGAGAATGACAATAAGAACACATTGTAAATTAGGAAGATCATATCAAAATATCTTACGATGGAAAAAGCAATATTTGGTATGGAAATTTGTCACGAATTTTAGGAAATCAAAGATCACTTTTGTTATTGACTTGTTGCATGTATACATTCATATATATAGTTTTTATTTAGAAGCCAACTCCTCCTCGTGCCTCTCTTATTATTATTACTTTCTTCTGCATCACTTCCTGCAAAACAATCTTTCTGAATCCACCGAAGCTTATTTATTTATTTATTTATTGGGGAAATTAATAGCTTATTCAATCAACGCATAAAACCCTTGGACTTAACTACTTTCTATCAATTTTCTTAGCTAGGAACCATAATTCATTTGATGGCTATGATCTAAAGTTCGATCAATTGGGGAGCTTTGAGAATAGATAACTAAAACATTATCATCTCAACAATCGGTGTTGAAGGAATGATCTTAATTGTCTGTAATTCTTCTTTTAAGTTAGTGAGGATATATTTGTGTAATCCCTTGACCTCACTAATTTATCTTGTTACCTAATATACTTATTTAGATTTATTGTTATATTTATTTTGATTTATTATTATATTTATTTTGATTTATTGTTACCTAGTATTTAGAAATGTATTCAGATTTACTGTTACTAGTATATGTGAGTTTATTTGGATTTTTTGTCACCTAATATCTAGGGATTATAAATGGCACATGTACAAAAATAAATATGAAAAGCAAGCTAGATAATTTACACTGGTAGAACCTTCTTCAAAGGTTGTTTGAAAAGGAATTTACTTATCTAAACCATAGTGGAAATAAGGGCTTTACCTTACCTTGTGAAAGAATAACTCGCAATATGAATGAATAGAAGAAACGCTATATGAATTACTAATACTTAGTGTTACCTTTCTCCATGGACCAGATTTAGATGAAGAACTGCTTTGCAAGTCACACTGTAGATATAGAAATATGAAGAAAAAGTAAATGAGAAAATGAGCAAAGCAACTTGCTCTGACAAATTAACCAAAGATAGTGGGAAATCATGCTACCTCTTCAAACTTTTCAAAATTTTGAGTGTCTAGCTCATCTTTAACCTCGGGAACAAATGCAGCTTCCATTTCATATAGCCTATCCCATTCAATACCTTCAAACCACGGATGAACCTAGATGATAAATTGGCAGGCAGGAACCTTGAGATTATTTAAATTTTTTCTAATTAAACCAAAAGAAATTAAGAAATGGACACACCATACAACACCTTAATGTCATCCGCGCCATTTGTCCCTAGCCTCTCGTCAACATTGCATAGTAGTTTGCTGATAAGATCTTTTGCCAAGGGAGATAGCTTTGCTTCATCAGGGAACACCAAATGAGTTCTCCAGTTCACTATCTGGAAAGAATAACAATGCAAAAAAAATTCATGAGTTACATAGGACTTCACGGAGTATCTAAATTTTTTTTTTTTTTTTTCCCTTCACATTAAGCGACACAAGATATGAACGGAGGCAAGCTACAAAAGATTATATAAATTGAGGATAAAAATTCAAAATTGAAGAGGAAAGTTACCTTCCGACATGTTGACATTGGATCATCAGAGTAAAAAGGTGGGTAGCCAACAAGCATTTCATACATAATAGCTCCAAGTGACCACCTAATATTTGGAAGGAAAAAATCATAAATTGTAAAAGACTACCTACAAAATTTGCTCCAAAATGTCGCTATGGTGGTAGCAAAAGGCGTCGTGCCAGTACAATGTTGCAAATCAAATTGCAAACAAATTGATGCCACTCCAAAGAACCTCCATCTCTTTCGCAGTTGAGATATTAAAAGGTCATTATCATAAGATCTATTATATTCACCCTTAATAGATGTATAATAGTTTAGAATTACCAGTCACATTCCATGCCATAACCTTTCTTCAACAAAACCTCCGGAGCAATATAATCTGGTGTTCCAACTGTTGAATAAGCCTGGAATTCCAATATACCATAAGGTAAAAGAAGAAATCATGTGCGCCTAAACAATCAGGTAGATTTTCTATAAAAAAAATAATTCAATGATCCATCAACTTGACCTGATTGAGGAGAGAGTAACAAAAACACCCTAGGGGTAGGAGAGGCCCCTCCCAAAGAAGGGTTAAAGCTAATCTATGGTTATAAGAGAATTCCTTGTGTCTAAATCCCCATTTCAGATATTTAACCAAGAAAATGAAGTTCTGTAACAAGGAATTTCCTAAGACCCCATTTAATAGCGGAGCACTAGAATAAGCGAACAGCCAACCATGAAACAAATCCCTTCACAGCTATAGGTTCACTTTAACATATGTCATCAAAAAGAAAAATAAGAGAATCAAACTTCGGTGGGAGAAAGCGTACAAGCATTCTTCGATTCTTCTGCCAATGTTGGAGTTGCTCTTGTTGAGTACGGGGAGCTGCATTACGCTCATCACTCTGTCCAGCTTCATTACGGACACTCCCTATATCAAGATCTTGTTCTTTGAGTGTACTGCAATCTAATGGTTTGCACAGTCCAAAGTCCGAGAGTCTCAAGTGCCCAAATTTATCAAGCAGCAAGTTGTCAGGCTTAATATCTCTGTGATACAAAACAACAGAGTTAGCTTATATTTCAAAATTGAAAGGAACAATTCATGATAAGTATCCAAGAGAGTTAATGCACTGAGCATAAAAGTCCAGAGACCTATGAATGTAATTGTGCTTATGAATAGATTCAACAGCCAAAACTATCTCTCCAACGTAAAACCTTGCTTCATCATCAGTCAAAGTATCCTTTCTCATCAATAAAGTCATCATATCTCCACCAGGTAGGTACTCCATGATAAGATAAAGAAACTCGTCATCTTGAAAAGAACAATAGAGTTTCACGATACAATTGCTGTCTACTTCAGCAAGCAGATTTCTTTCAGCTCTCACATGCTCCACCTGAAAGATCTCCAAAACTGCCCATAAGCATGCAGAATAATAAGTTCTGGAATACTAGATGGGGCAGGCCACCACAAATTACCTGGCCCCTTCGAAGCATCTCTGATTTTTTAAGCTTTTTCATAGCATATACCTGACCTGAAGTCTTCTCTCTACATACACGAACCTACAAGATCAGGAACATAATAAACTTATGAAGTTACCCCCAAAATAGTAACTACACAAACAAATATGGTTTAAAAATAGTTTGGATTCCAAACTTTAATTCATTTTCACTTTACTCCTTTAATTTTTTAAGTGAGGGTCTAGGCTTGTTTATGTACGTTGTCAAGATTGGACTTTAATATGTTAGGTAGGCGGTTACCAGGAAGTTTGAATTTGTACTCATTCACATACCCCAATGTCTGTAAGGTCAATCCTATGGTCGATCATGTTAGTTCCTTAAACTTTTAGACGTTCAATTTTGTCTCTAAATTTTATCCACCTCCCATTTCGTACCTACAAAATTTTCAACTTCTATTTTAAACTTTACATTCAATTTTGGCTACAAAAGTCTACTGTTATTCTAACTTACTGGAAACAAGAAGGAACACCATTCATTATCTATATTTTTAGGTTGACCTGGTGTTTGCCTGATAGACTTGATGTATTTGTCTCAGCTGGTTTTTGGAACACACTTCAGGAATAAGGAAAGATTTCTGTGGTCTAATATTGTTATGGATTTCTCTGGAAGCTGTGGAACAGAGAAACCAGAGGGTCTTCGAAGTGTGCGTTCTCAACGAGTTATGTGAGTGTATTAGACTCTTCGCATATCCCCCGTCTGGTGTTCTCTCTCTAAATACTTTTATAATTATGATATTGTTCATATTTCGGCCAATTGGGATTCCTTTTTGTAACCCTTTGACTTTGTAGGGATATCTCGTCTCCCCTTTTGTACGATCCTTTCATCAATATGTTTCTTTTCTTTTGTTTGTTATAAAACAAAAGGCAAAACAAAAACCAAAACAAAAAAAACAAAAAGAAGATATTTTAAAGAATAAAAGATAAATAAAAAATCCCGAGAAATACAGACAAAATCCAGTAGTTTATTCCACATGGCATGAACATGATAAGCTCAAGTTGTTCGTTAAAATTTGACTTTTATGACCCATTTGTTTTTCTAGTTATTCAAACATTTCATTTTGTTTCATTTGGAATCAAATACCTATTTGAAAATGTAGTTTAATCTAACTAGTTAAACAACAAACTTGAGCTCGAGGATTATGAGTATGTTCCCAAAAGTGTAGTCACAGAGATTGAGTATACAATTTCAACCAGAAACTATCCAAAAACAGATATGATTTCCATTTAATGGGAGCCAGGGGGGTTGAGAGCTGTGGAAAAGAGAATTTATACATAAAAAATGTAAAACATACCTCCCCAAAAGCACCTTTGCCAATAATTGTTAGTAAATCAAAATCACTGACACCCATTTTGTGCCTTTTGAGGCGCATATATTCAGTTTCCTTCTTCTCTAAATACTTGAGTAAATTGTTTTGATCTTCTTCAGAGACATCAGCATCAGCCAACTTCTTTTCCAATATATTTCGTCTGCATCCGTAAAATATATATCAACAAAACTTTATACCCATTCGAAGCTACTCAAATAAGAACCTATAACTTGGAAGTTTCACGTGTATGTTAAAAATCAGGGCTAGAAAGTACAATAAAGCTCTTGTTATTAATTATGTACAAATTGTGTACTTTATATTAATATAAAGAATGATAAAGAACGATGGATGATTAATAATTTGAGAATAGTGCTAGAGAATTCAAGAGTAAGCAAGCTTTTCTTCAAGGTTAGCAGAAGAGTTTCTGTACTAAAGTCCAGAGGTAGACAGTACGCATATCTGAATGACTCAATTATGCATATGAAGAAAAAACAACAAAAACAATTATGCATATCTGAATGACTCAATTATGCAAATGAAGTTGCATCATACGGCTTCGGTTTTGTCGCTCTCTGTTTTGGCTCCCAAATCCTACAACGGTTGTGGCTTGTACTTCTTTCCAATCCTTGTGTTCTCCCTCTGCTTCCCCATAAGCCCCTGTGTTCTCCCTCTGCTTCCCCATAAGCCCCTGTGTTCTCTTTTAGAAGGTCAAAGTCTTAGCCTGCCCGAAAATCAACAATTTGGATCGTATTCAAAGACACTCTTCTTCGTGTTTTGGATCCACAGTGTTGCATTTCAGAATTAGAGGATATTGATCCTTTGTTCTAGAATTGCAAGTTTGTGCAGTTCAATTGGGATCGTTTCTTAGATTCATTTTGAGTTTCTTTTGTGCATAACAGAAATTTTAGGTCTATGATGGAGGAGGTAGTGTTATCCCCTCCTCTTAGGGATAAAGGGAGAGTTCTTTGGCACAATTGTTCTTTCATAGTTTTATGGCCATTCGGATTGAAAAAAATAATAGGATTTCTAGAGAGGTAGAGCATTATTCTTTGAGAAACACTACTTTTAACATCTACTTTTGGATTGGAGGCCTTTTTTGTAGGTGTGTGGCTTGTTTGTTTATATGATCTTGTATATTCTTTCATGTTTCTTAACAAAAGCTCGCCTAGTCCAGGGTGTCTATAATGAAATAAGGATCAGGGTGTGTTTCTGCAAATTCCAGTGACTAATGTGTCTTCAACCAATTAGGCATTTCCAGAATCATTAAGAGACATTAGTTAAAGAATGCATAACAAGTTTCAAAAACTTTGGTTGAACATTACTACTTCATAATTGTTCTAATTTCTAGAACACAAACAAAAAGAGGAGCAGCCATAGATGTACCTTTCCTTTCTCTCCTGCAGATTCTTCATTTGCTCCTTGTAATGATTCTCGATGTACTGCTTTGCCGCAGCAGCCTTCTGCTTAGTGCTATTCGAATGCGCTTCTCCATCCATTTTATCAGTACAATCCTCGTTCCCTTCCATACTATCGTCCTTCTTCTTCGAAGAACCTCTCGGCCTATCTCTCGGCTGAAGCTTATTGAACCAACTCCTCGCCGAATCCATTTCTCAAACAGAAATCTCAAGAACCCTAAAACATCCCTAGAACACAAAAAACAAGTCGCCCAAACAAACTATTCGATATCCAAAATGTCACCGCCTCAAGTTCGAAACAACCACGAAATCGTTGAAAATCAACAAGCAACAGCGCGGCAACGGAATCAAAACGAACATCGAAAAAGGAGTTGTAAAGAGAAAATTTGGAATGTTGATTCAATGTCGAAGAAAAGGAATTCGTAGGGATTTCAAGAAAGAAGGCTGAGAATCCGGATGACCGTAGAACTAAAATAGAGAGTGAATTGGAGGCATGAAGGGGAAGTATATGTGATCCAGAAATGGAAATGAGAGAGAGAAAAAGAGAGACAGAGAAGGATTCCAGCATTTTCGTTGTGCCCTTCGATTACAGCTGAACCCTGAAGAAATTCCGATGACTTTTCCCGAAATGGACTCTCCTTCGTGATTCGAATCACCGCTAATTTCCATTCTTCTTCCCGATTCTGAGCTCTTCCATGGAATTGGAGTTTGATTGTAGATGACGATGATATTACAATGGTGGTGTGAAGAATCCAATTCATGAACTTTCATCAGTTCATAGAATGAAATTAGTTAGTTCAATTCGTCTTCACAAAAAAATTTTGTCACTAATAAATTAAATATAAAATCCACATTATAATCATTTTAAATTAATTAACTATGAAGACCAATAAAAATTAGGCTAAAATAATAGAAAATACCTTGAAATTTTTCACTAAAATTTCAATAAAATCCTTTAAAAAAATATATTAAAAATAAATTTAGGTTTCTATAAAAAAATACTCTTGAAATTATTTTTATTAAAAAAATATATTTTTAAACTTTGTTTTAAAATAACCTTAATTTTTAAATTTATCAAATGCTTGTAGCTCAGTGGATAGAGTGTTTGTCTCCTAAGTGGAAAGTCATAGGTTCGACTCCTACCTGGTGTGAAATATTTTTTCTAATACGTCTATATACTATCAATAATTATATAAATTAAACATAAAATATAACAAGTAAAATGAAACAAACCAATATTCTTATTTGTTTTATTTCTAAAATGTGCAAAATAATTTGCAATAATAATGAAAAGAATATAAATATAAGTAGTGAGAAAATGTTGAAATTGATTTCCAAATAAAAAAAAAAAAGAGTTTAATAATAAAGATGCCACGTGGCAATATGGTAAGGGACTACAAATTCAACTAAATTTAGTTATATTAATTATCATAAAAATAACTTAATTTTCTTTAGATAATAAATAAGGGAATAAAATTAAACCCTTTAAAATAAAAATATTTTAAAATCTATTAATTTTAAAACAAATTGATTAAAATAGTTTATTTTATTATTTTTACCATTATAGTGTATTTAAGTAATTCTACATAATATTTAAAAATAAATTAAGATACCCCTAAATTATGCCAGGATGATATTTCCCTGGCAAAATAAAAAGACCCAGTCAATTGAGACACTCCCTTTTCAATATAGTTTGACTTAAAAAGTAAACTCCACATTCAAGTTATTGACACTCTCACGGTCATGCAATGATTGTGAATTTTTGAACCACTATTTTATAGAACGAGAATTTGAACCATCGAGCTCAAGGAAAAGAGTCCATGATAATTACAACCGAGCTATACTCACTTTGGTAAAGATTGATTGTCTCTCCGCTAAGCTATACAAATACCGTACTGAGCGTCCAAGTTTCTAAACTTCTACACATTTGTAGTACTAAAAAATCATGTTCGGATCCTTTCTCGTCTTAAGATCAATTAACAACCAATATATCACTGCTCTCCCACCACTCGCAGCTTCGTTCATTTTTTGTTTAATTATATTTTTAAAAAATACTTAAATTAAATAATAAAACTAAATAATGATTTCGGGTTCTATTTTAATGGATGGTGGACGTGAGTGTCAGTGAATCATCTACTCGACCACCTTCTAAACCTATTATTTTGGAATTTTTCGACCCGTTAAAGAATGTCGTTTTTTCTTTAATAACAAAAAATAGTAAATAATAGTAATAAAAAAAACAATTAATAGTTGTATTTTTTGAAAATTAGAACTAATTTTGTTTTAACAATTGGAAGGGAAAAAAAAACAACAAAAATACAAAAATACGAATTTTTTTAAAAAAGAATTCAGTTTTTTAGTCGCCAGTCGAGTCAAGTCAACACAATGAACGCGTGGGTCCCATCGCCATTAATCATACACTCCTTTTTTATTTTTATTTTTTTATTTTTAATTTCAATTTATTTGGCCGATTGGAAAATCGATTTATTGTTTTCTTCCATGAAATTTCTTCGGTCTCCACTTTTTTTCTGTTGTTCACATTGAATTTTCTCTCTTTCGTGTAAGCTCCTTAATTCCTCCATTAAATGAATTCTATCTTCATCTTCCAAGTTTTGGAGATTGTAGTTCGTTCTCTCTTCTTGTTTTCGATGTTTTCTCGTTGAATTCAACATCCCCTTTTGAAGGCTTCTTAAATTCCACCAGTTTTCGACGATCTCTGGTTTGATTCTGCGAGCTAGTGTGAGGTTTTGCTGCAATTTCAGTCGAATTTCGTGGGGGGATTTGCTTTGAAGATTTGAACTCGGTATTGAATTGCTAGGTTTTTGTTTAACTGTTCTGTTTGTTTGATTGATTTTTGAATTGGAAATGGCTGTTTATTGAAGAAGTTGGAATTGGGAAGTGTTGAAACTATCTCCGATTTTGCTGAAATTTTGATAGATTGTTCTGTTTATGAACGATATGCTTTGCAATCGATTTGTGGATTGCTTGGTTGCTGGTTTTGTGGTGGTATTGTTGAGTAGTAGTAATGGTTTTACCTCTGCTACTGAGACTGATTTGTCTTGTTTGAGGAGCATAAAGAAATCGCTTCAGGATCCTAATAATTACT